GAATAAATGTTTGGTTTCAAAAAACTATAATTTACACTTATAATAATCAAACCTTAAGAAAAAAATCTTAAAGTTCAGACTGGAAAAGAAGCAGCTGTTTAGTCAAAGTTCATTTATTGTCTGAGTTTCTTAAATTCAGTTAAAATTCAGCTGTGATGTCATAACTTATAAATGTGTAGTTAAGTATAACTTTGGGACAAAATGTTTGTTTTTCTTTTTTCAGGTCTCAGTGCAGTGAACATTTTATATCCAAAGAGAAAAATAATGATAAATAACCTAATTAGAACATTTAAATATATTGTGAAATAAAATATGTTTGGTGTGAAAAAAGGAACAGAAAATGTAAAATAAAATCACTGAAAATTGCAGGATTCTGATCATTAAACATAAACAGTATAATTTGAGGTGAAATGGATCGTTTTATTCAATAACTGATAAAATAACTGAATATTCCAGATCTTTAATAATTAATAATCGTGTTTCTTCATATTAACCCGACTAACAGCTGCTGTTTTTAAAAACCAACTTTCTTCTGAGCTGAATTATTTTTCTTTCTCTCTCCGTCTTGCTCTGTGGCTGCTGGCCTCATCCCGGCGCTGCGCTGCCACCTGGTGGCGGCCGCCTGGCAGAGCGCGCCGGCCGCAGGCTGAGCAGCCAGCTGTCCCAGCAGTCTGCCAGCTCTGTGACCTCTGACCTCTGGGACCACAGCGGCAGCAGCACTCCTGGTATCTGTGGCCTCACAGCAGAGAAAGCCTGATTCTAACCTTTGACCCGGGTCTTCCTCAGAGAGACTCACCTTCATCTTCCTCAGAGGACAAGATGGGATGCAGGATGCTGACTGCTCTCTCTGTGTGTGTGTGTATGTGTGTGTGTGTGTGTGTGTGTGTGTGTGTGTGTGTGTGTGTGTGTGTGTGTGTGTGTGTGTGTGTCCAGCTCCCGTCCTGCCCGGTGCGTACCACCATCATCATCAGAGCGTCCAGCAGCAGCAGCAGTTCCACGGCTACATGCATCAGACCAGCATGTCGTCGGTCCGATCCGTCACCTCGCCGCCGCACTCGGCCACATCGGTACGCCGCCGCGCGCCGCGCGTCACACACTCCAACAGACACACACTGCATAAAGTATTCACACCCTGATGATGATGCTGGACAAAACAAAATGGTTCTTAAAGGTTTTGCTTTTTCATATTAACAAAAAACATTTTATTTATGTTTTTATATCTTAAAACAAAAAAGGATCCTGAACTTTGGCCATAAATTGAGTCGATCCATTTTCTTCTCTAAGATTCTGATATTTGTAGGAAATACTATAAAATTCCTTTATTTCCTCTAAAGTTTATTTATTCGTGCTTTGTGTTCACTTAAAATCAAAGTTACTTTTTGGTCAAGCTGAATCCAAATAACTTAAAATTATTCATGTTTTTTTTATTTTGGATCTGCAAAACTATCATTTACTAATATATTGTTACGTAAACAGGTTAGTTGGTTCTTTGTTATTTTTCTCCAGTTATTGATGTTGAGGATCCAAAGAGCTTCTTGTGGGTCCAGAGCTGCAGGTTGTAGACCCTGAGTTCACCAAACTCTTTATTCATTCCTTCCAGATTTTCATAGAAATTCACACAAATCCAACAGAACCCTGCATTTTTACCCTCTGATTTATAATTGTGTTTGTTGAAAATTTTCTGCAACACTGGAGAAAACATTGGTTTGAAGTGATACTAACTCCTGCCTGCAGGTGGCAGTGTTATTACTGCTACTCCACTGCTGACTCTAGAGCTGTTTAGGTTTTATAAAGAATAAAAATGTTTGTGTCCAATCTATTGGTTTTTATTTGATCATTTTTTTCTATTTGTAAATTTTGGAAACAGTTTAATGATGAAAAAAAAATCACAAAATTCTGAAGTAGCAACAGAAAATCAGTGATTCTGACAGAAACAAATGCTGAATCCTTCTGAAACGTTTTGGAGACCTGAAATGATTCCCCTCCCTCAGAGCCGCTCTGAACCGGGCTCAGCTTGTCTCTGTCCCCCTGCAGCGTGTTTACCGGGCGCTCTACGACTACGCGGCCCAGGACCACGACGAGGTGTCCTTCAGGGACGGAGACGTCATCGTCAACGCGCAGCCCATCGACGAGGGCTGGATGTACGGCACCGTGCAGAGGACCGGCAAGTCCGGCATGCTGCCCGCAAACTACGTGGAGTGTTGCAACTGAACAGGGAGGAAGAGGAGGAGGAGGAAGAGCCGGCGTCCTTCAGGGTGAAAACTGTCAACGCTCTCAGATGCTGGTGATGTTTTTATTTCAGGGTCCCCATATGTTCCACCAGCTGCAGAAATGACGTCCAACATGTTCTCCGCTGAACCTTTTAGTCATCAGCCAATTAGACGCCTGGCAGTTTACTGAGGAAGAGGAGGATGTGTGTGAGAGGCTGAGGTTCTGATCAACCGTAGGAAAGAAAATTAGTTGGAGGGTAAAAAGAGCTCTGATGGTTAAATGAACTGAGACAAGTTGAAAGAGGTGGTCTAGTCCAAGTTTCATGTTGAAGTTCTGTGGTTCTTCCTCTGTCAGTTTTTGTTGTTGTTTTTCTCTAACACGTCTCCACGCATCGTTCACCCTGTCCACACTAATTCACTCAGATCTAATCTGACGATCTTCCTTCCACTAAACTTTCTGAGTGAAAAGAAGCAGACGTTATTATGATCAGAACAAAGTGAAAGAAAACGTTTCCCTCGTAAAGCAGCTGTTAGCAAACGAAGCTACATCCACCCTGACACTGGATTATAATCCCAGATTATTTAATGCTATTTAATATTTAGTGATTAACACGTTTATGTTTTATTGGCTGATTTTCTATCACTTTTATTCATGTATTTAAAAATGAAGGGAGCATTTCACACTGACTTTAATATAAAGATTTTATCTCAGTGTCTCAAGTTCAAATAATTGACAACTTAATATTATTAATATTTATAAGTTAATTTTACTCATTAGCATCCTGTATAAAGTTATAGATATTATGTAACAGATCAGCCCATTATTTCTCTTAGCTTTTCTTCAAAAAGGGAAAAACAAGAGAATAAAGTCGGATAGATTAACTGATCCAAACTAGGAACTGAAGATGATGAACTCTGGATGATCTGAGATTAGAAACTCGGAGGACAGAAAGAGAGTCGAACAAAGAACTGACAGCAGAGGATTCTGTTAAAAACAAGAATTAAAACCAGATTCTGATAAATGTTGGATTTTTTGCTGGTGCAGGAATTTATGTCTCGGCAACAGAAGTCACTAAAGATATCAGTCGTGTTTCCTGTATTTAAACATATATTTAATAAAAGCCTACATATTTTTACAGTGCATTGAGGACAGTTTAGTTTGGGTTCAGTCATTAAAACCCAGTGAGCCGGTATTTAATGGTCTTACTGGTTCTCAGGATGAAACCAGTTCAGCTTTTCTCTGTTTAGTTCAAACATGAAATCTTTAAATCTCAAGTTTAAAGATTTCTTTTTCTACATTTTCCTTCATAAAATCAGAATATGTTCATTCTGATTCAACAGGGTCAGTTGTTTCTCTAAATGACAAATGGTGGATGAGTGTTACAGCCAGTTAAACGCGGCTGCTCATGACCTTCATGGAGGTCGTTTATCGGGGTAAAGTTTTATTTTTAGTTTCATCCTCAAAGCAATAAAGGTCAAATTTACCCCGATGATTTTAGAGCAGGAAGAGAAAAAAATGCTGTTTGGATTTATTTAAAAACCAGTGAACATCACTGCAGACATTTTGTTAGGAGAGAAATGAAAATGAAGAAAGATTTTTAAAATCCCACATTTTCTTTTTGGCTTTTTTATTTTGAAGTGATTTAGCAGAAAAGATGGACAACAGATATAGTTCATCCTCAGTCTGATAACCAGCTTAGATTTTGTAATTTCTGTGTTGAATAATTTCTAAAGAGATGAAAAAGTCTCAGTTTAGTCAGAAATGGCCACAGTAATCTCTGTGTGTTTTTATTTTTAACATTTTTATGTGCAGAAAACTGAATTTTTCATGTGTGTTTGGACTGAAGCTGTGTGAGAACATAAAACTTTTCTGTTTGTCTGAATATCTTCACTCCTGATTTTGGACATGAATATTTGAATTTTTATGGATTTGTTGTCTTGCTGTGATGAATGCATCTGATCATATTCTGAATTTATGCATTTGGTTAACATTTGGTTTTCTGGAAAATAGCTGGTATGATTGCTGAATATATCTGTGTGTTGATTTTGAAAGAGACACTTTGAGACTTTTTTTGATTTTGCTTTGAGGATTTTGGCATTCTCTATATTATTAGCTATAGGTCATTAATAGTCTGTAAGTTAACACAGGTTATAATCAACTTAATTAAATTTTTTTGGAATGATCAGTCACTCTTTTCAGTTTTTATTATAACTGTTCCATGTGAGAGAAATGAAATAAAAAAATAATAAAATGCTAAATGAACAGTCTGATTTATTTATTTATTTATTTGGCCCTTCACTGTGTTCATATTGTAATACATGCGCTTTGACAGTAGGGGGCAGCAGGGTGTTCGCGCCAACCCATTTCTCCTTGTCTAGTGCCGCAGCAGAAGAAGTGATCTGGGAACGGAGGCGCTTCAGCCTTGCAGTCTGACCGACACTGAATGAGAACGCACTGATTCCTGTTTCAAAATGTTGAAGTTTATGCCTAAACTATTGCTGCTACTGCTTGTAGCCTTCCCGGTGACCATTCTCATCAAAGGTGAGTTTTTTGAATTGCCTGTTTTGAGGTTTAGACGGATGTTACCGCAGCATGCTGGTGTGAGCAGTGGAGCTAACTAGCTAATGAGAGCTAGGCCAGACGCAGGTTGTTAACTGCAATAAAACCATGATTTTTAAATAAAATGCGTATTTATGAAAATATAAACAGCTTGATATGGCATCCTTATCTTTGCTGATCAGTATGTGTTGGTAATGTTACATTTAGTATTTTAATTTTAGCTGTCATGAAAGCAGTTGCTGCTCGTGTTTAGACTGACGTGTCCTTAGTGTTAGCTGTTAGCCGGAGAGCTAACGGCTCTCCTCGCCTCCTCAGATATTAATTTAACTCTAAACTAGTTAAACTACACGTGATGTCAGTATATGTTAACAGCAGAAAGCTGGAAACGCCGTTAAAAGGCGTCATCAGTTTAAAACGGGTCAGTTTGTTACGAGCTGCTAATTTAGGAAATAATCTCAGAAGTAAGTGGTTTAAATTTATTCTCTGTTTTCTATTGATCTGCAGTTTAAATGTGATTATTTGGTCTAAACTAAGAGCTAAAGCTGTGTGATCAATACTGAAGTTCCCATCCGGTTTGCCACTGAGCTCAGGAGATTAATGGACCACAATAAACTTTTAATTTCTTAAAATAATACCACTCAATGTCATAAACTAATTAGTATTTTACCAAAAGCCTTATTTTGTTGTTGTTTTTGTCTAAGTGAATGTAAATTAACTACATGTTTCTGTGTGTTTGTCCATGATTGGATGTTTCTGCTAATTATTTGCTTTATAATCAAAACCAAAATTCAGTTATGTATCATTTTTTAATGAACCCTCTTTGTTTCGGGTCACCCAACTTATTTCCTTCTTTCTTTTTGTTTCTCTTATTAAATCTAATGTATATAATTAAGTTTTCATTTGATCCCAGGTTGGACCTTTAAGCAGATTATACAGAATATTTTTTTATTTTATTTGTGAAATGAGGTCAAGCGTCTCCATGGCAGCGCAAATCAAAAGTTGGTTGCTATATTAGCGTCTCAGGGTGGATGAGGACAACCTGAACGAGCTCAACGTTGTCACATAATGATAATAATAGTGATAATAATCCGACTGTGTTGTGATCTGATAATAATCATCTTCATCATGATGATGATGATGAAGGTCCTGCTGTAGTTCCCAGAAACTCTGAGACTCTAAGACAGTTTTTGAAAGTTTGTCTTCTCTGTGGTCTTCAGGCCCGGTGGCGAGCGCCCAGGACCTGACGGAGGATGAGGAGGCTGAGGCTGTGGATGAAGATGTTGTGGACGATGTGACGGCTGAGGATGAGGATGATGAAGCTGAAGTAGAAGACGATGAAAACACAGAGCTGGTGAGCTTTGACCTCGACCTCTCTGCTCGGTGCTGTTCGAGACAAAACATGTCAAATGTTTCATAAAATGAGAATTAAAATTTTTATTAGTCAGCTGGTTTGGTTGTGACACTCCTGTTTCTGTTCAGACGGAGGAGAAAGATGAGGAAGAGGAGGCGCTGGTGGGAGAGGTGAAGGCTTCGCCCAACGCCGACACCACCATCTGTTCGTCAAAGGAGAAGGTGACTGTTGTTCTGGCCGGTTCTGCTCTGACCCTGGTTCTCTGGCCCGGTTCTGCTCTGACCCTGGTTCTCTCTGGCCCGGTTCTGCTCTGACCCTGGTTCTCTCTGGCCGGTTCTGCTCTGACCCTGGTTCTCTCTGGCCCGGTTCTGCTCTGACCCTGGTTCACTCTGGCCCGGTTCTGCTCTGACCCTGGTTCACTCTGGCCCGGTTCTGCTCTAACCCTGGTTCACTCTGGCCCGGTTCTGCTCTGACCCTGGTTCTCTCTGGCCCGGTTCTGCTCTGACCTGGTTCTCTCTGGCCCGGTTCTGCTCTGACCCTGGTTCACTCTGGCCCGTTCTGCTCTGACCCTGGTTCTCTCTGGCCCGGTTCTGCTCTAACCCTGGTTCTCTCTGGCCCGGTTCTGCTCTGACCTGGTTCTCTCTGGCCCGGTTCTGCTCTGACCCTGGTTCTCTCTGGTCCGGTTCCCCGGCCCGTTCTGCTCTAACCCTGGTTCACTCTGGCCCGGTTCTGCTCTAACCCTGGTCTCTCTGGTCCGGTTCTGCTCTAACCCTGGTTCTCTCTGGTCCGGTTCCCCGGTCCGGTTCTGCTCTAACCCTGGTTCTCTCTGGCCCGGTTCTGCTCTAACCCTGGTTCTCTCTGGCCCGGTTCTGCTCTGATCCTGGTTCTCTCTGGCCCGGTTCCCCGGTCCGGTTCTGCTCTAACCCTGGTTCTCTCCCCTCCAGACTTCCCGGCCAACAACATTGTGAAGTTCCTTCTGGGTTTCACCAACAAGGGACCAGAGAACTTCATGGTTGAGTCTCTGGACGCCTCCTTCCGTTACCCTCAGGTACTGGTAGAACCCGACCTGCTAGAACCCGGCCCGGTGGCCGCAGACAGGACCCTGTGATCTGACCCGGTTGTGTCGTTGCCAGGACTACCAGTTCTACATCCAGAACTTCACGGCGCTGCAGCTGGGCACCGTGGTTCCTCCGGGCCGCCAGGCCACCTTCGAGTACTCCTTCATCCCGGCCGAGCCGATGGGAGGCCGGCCGTTTGGACTCGTCATCAACCTCAACTACAAGGACAGCAGCGTAAGGACCGGCTGGGCGACCGGACCAGAACCCGCTGCTGACCTCTGAACTTTCACCTCCTCTTCCACCTGCAGGGGAACGTCTTCCAGGACGCCGTCTTCAACCAGACAGTCACCATCACTGAGAAGGAGGACGGGCTGGACGGAGAAACGTAAGCACCGCAGAGTTCTGGTTCTGGATCCGGTTCTGGTTCTGGTTCTGGATCCGGTTCTGTTCCGACTGGTCTAAGTTCTCCTCTGTTGCCTTCAGCATCTTCATGTACGTCTTCCTGTCCGGTCTGGGTCTGCTCGTCATCGTCGGCCTTCATCAGCTGCTGGAGTCCAGAAAGGTCAGAGACGGTCAGGGGTCAGAGGTCAGGCTGCTGACCAGTAGCTATGGAGATAAACGATAATTATGTTTTTGACTAATATAATGTTGATGTTGTGAAAGATCAATAAGCTTTAAACTGATGATCATTAAAGTCTGGAGCTGGAAGATTTTTTAATACTCAAAATAAATAAAACAAATTAATAACAAATTAATAAATGAAATGAATTTTAAAGAGTCTGTGAACAAAAGTGTCCAGTTGAGATGAAAACAGACTGAAACTTTTATCATCCAGTTTTTGGTAGAAAGAGAAAAATGAGAACGCTTTGAGTTCCCAAACATCGATCATTAGAATTTATCGTGAGGCTGATAGATGAAAATTCCTTTCATGTGAATTCATTTCTGATAATAATGATGTAACACCTGCTGACCCCTGTGTTGACCTCTTGACCTCCGTCTGTCTCAGAGGCGGCGCCCGGCTCCTAAGGTGGAAACGGGAACGTCGAGCCACAACGACGTGGATCTGAGCTGGATCCCTCAGGAGACGCTCAACCAGATCAGTACGTACCACTCTACTGCTGCCGGTCAGGTGGTCTAGTCCAAGGCCGCCCCCACAGTGACCTTTGAACCCTCAGAGCTTGTGGTTCACTTATCTTCCTCTGTCTCTCTCTGTTTCCTTGCTGTCGTGTTTTTCCTGCGTCTTCAGTGCAGAGCCGCAGAGGTGAGGCTGCTGCATGGGTCTGTCCTGGTGTGTGTGTGTGTGTGTGTGTGTGTGTGTGTGTGTGTGTGTGTGTGTGTGTGTGTGTGTGTGTGTTTGTTTGACAGGAAGTTTATTCTGTTTCTGCAGCTCTATGATCCAGTTGATCTCTTTTTCCCCTGGATTCTCTCAGTTTCTCTGCTGCTTCTCAACATTTTTCCTTTTTTCTACTTCAGAATCACAGAAACTTTGTTTAAACCACTGATAGAAACATTTTCTCCATGAAGTCATGTCTGTAAAAGTCTGAGAGCTTCTTCAGCCATCAGGGACTAAAATCCTGTTTGAAAGTAATCCAGTGGATCCCTGTTAATAACTGATCTTCAGTGGAATTAAAATTCTTTAACAAGTTGAATCCATTCACATCATTTATCTACAGAACAATCTTAATTTAAATCTGTAAACTGGGTCTAGTTTTCATCTCAGTGTTAAAGCTGAAACTGTATTGATTCATTCCTGTTCAGCTGCATGTGGCGTTCGCCTGCCGGTCGACCCCGCGGCCCGGAGGTCGACCCCGCGGCCCGGAGGTCGACCCCGCGGCCCGGAGGTCGACCCCGCGGCCCGGAGGTCGACCCCACGGCCCGCCGGTCGACCCCGCGGCCCGCCGGTCGACCCCGCGGCCCGCCGGTCGACCCCGCGGCCCGCCGGTCGACCCCGCGGCCCGCCGGTCGACCCCGCGGCCCGCCGGTCGACCCCGCGGCCCGGAGGTCGACCCCGCGGCCCGGAGGTCGACCTCGCGGCCCGCCGGTCGACCCCGCGGCCCGCCGGTCGACCCAGCGGCCCGGAGGTCGACCTCGCGGCCCGCCGGTCGACCCCGCGGCCCGCCGGTCGACCCCGCGGCCCGCCGGTCGACCCCGCGGCCCGGAGGTCGACCCCGCGGCCCGCCGGTCGACCCCGCGGCCCGGAGGTCGACCCCGCGGCCCGCCGGTCGACCCCGCGTCTCGGCAGTTTATACTGAATGCTTCCTGTTCATGTTTGGATGCTCAGCCAGATTCTCGTTTCGTTCTCCACAAAGCTTCTCCCAGACGATCTCCTCGCAAGCGGAACCAGAAACGCTCGGCCGGCTCAGACGAGTGACGGGCGCCGTGGCGACCCTTCATCTGTCCGCCATGATAGGAGGAAGAGGAGGACTGAAGCCGTCTGAGCGCGCTCAGTCCGTCTGTCTGTCTGCTGAGGAACTTGAACCAGTGCCAAGCACAGCGACGGCTGGCTCCACTTTCAGCTTAGAGACTGTCGAACAAACACACACACACACACACACACACACACACACACACACACACGACTCCACTGCTTTTCAGTTAAAGGTTGTTTTGTTTTTTCTAACCAGAGGAGGATTTGTTTTGTTTTTTAAGCCTTAGTGAGAAACTGCTGACGTTGCGTGGAGACGGCGCCTCCTGCTGTTTCCTCTGGTCTGGCTCTTGTTTCAGCTCCAGGATGTTTGTGGGAGCAGCTGGTGTCGACTCAGCAGGTTAAACACTGGTTGGTTAGTTGCAGCTCTGACCCTCTCTTCAGATGAACCTTCATCTCCTCTGTTCACAGCCTGCTTTTCTGTAGCTTCAGGGTTTAAATCTGAACGTGGAGCGCTGTCAACGCTTTCAATTTTTCAATCTTTTAGTTTTTTTATGTTGGAAAAATCTCAACTTTCTCTTACATTTATTTCACCAAACATTCTGATATCTGATCAGAAAACCTCTCAATTTGATTGAATAACGTGAATTTTTATGCCGTTAATGATTTCTCCCTGAAATTAATCCAGAATAAAAACAGGTTAAATCTGCAGCCTGCTGGATTAAAATAGCTCTGCGGCTGTTTGTGGTGATGCGTTCAGGGTCATTGTGTATTTTATGATTAGTTTCATGAAGCTGGGCTCCTGTAGCGGTGATCTGGATGTTTTTCTGAGTTATAACCTGCTGAACGGTTTCTCTCTAAGCGGCCCGTCTGGACCCAGAACCTCCACTATCGGGTCGGGAAGTTGCTGAACTGGAAGCACTGGTTTCTGGCTAATTTATTCCAGTTTGGTCTTCAGTGGGCGGGGTTTCTGCTGTCCTTGTCTCCCCACCAGGGGGCGGTGTTTGCGGTTCAGAGGCTGTTTGTTGGATTTGAATTTTACTGTGAAGAATCAAACGAACAGCGGAGACTCGGCTCTTCCTGGACTGAATTCATTCAGTTCAAACTTTTTCTTTGATTTGCTTTTGAAGATGCAGAAAATAAACGATGATTTGCTGTAAAACTGCTTCTGTGTTCTTTTAACTTTCACTGTGTAAAAATCAATTCTTGCTCCAATTTTCATCATTTTTTTTATTGAACAACCTACAAATGATACTATATATTTTTTAGAGATCACTTCAGTGCCAATCTTTTCAATAACTGTGTATCAGGTGAATATTCAGTTTGCAATCCTTCAATTTGCCACCAGATGTCGCTACATCTTTGTTTTATAAAATTAAATATTTTTTTAAATTGACCAAAATATGTATTAGGAAAAGTTGCTGGAATTGGAAGGTCAATCTGGAAAGTGTAGATCTTATTGTTTAAGGCCTGGATGAAATTATTTACTGTAACCTTTTATTTGTAAATCCACCATCGGCCATTTTGTGTTTTCCAGGATCTCATCCGTGCAGCATTTCCTCCTGATCATAAACAAACATCTGAATAAATTAGTTGGTGTCTGAAATGTTGGTCTGTTGTGTTCAGAACATGGTGGAACCTGGGAAAAGCTTGAATAATCAGTTATTTGCTGACATGTTCATGGACAAAATGAAGCTCTGCTGACTGTAACCATGGTAACACAATCACGCTTAAAAAACATCTTTACAAACTTTACAGTTATTTTAAATGTTAAAGTGGTTCATTTATAAATTCTGAATTCATCAAACCAAACTTCATTTCTCGAACATTTCGGCTCCTTCCTGTGGACGATGCCCCATAGATCCTCTCTGGTTCTGGTGTTACCTGAAGCTGATGTTGGTACCAGGACCTGCTGAAAAGTGACAAGTATGAAATCCTCCAGAACGTTCTGCTACATGTGGACCAGAACCAGCAGAAAACATGGCGACCCAAACCAACCAACCAACGATCACCGTCCCAAATCTGCAGGAAAACGCAAAACTTCAAAAGATTAACGAATTGCTGGGTTGCAGATTACGTAGTACTGTCGTCACGCAAAATTTGGGGTCAGTTGGTGATTGCCGCCCTAAGGTTTGCGTTCACACTGCAGCCTGAAGTGACCCGATGTTTCGTCAGATCGGGTTTTGCCGTCGTTCGGCCTGTACGTGTCCCGCATGCGCAGTAGAGGGCGCAATAGCGTCATCATTCTCAGTGTTTGCGGAAGTAAACATGGATGCTAACGGTGGAGCCTAGCTTAGACATTTAGGTAAGGATCTCGTCCTTTAAATTGTGTTTTCATGTATCTTATTGGACATTTACTGAGAGAGCAGCATTCATAATGCATTCATAATCTAGGTCAATATATTATTGTATATACTGGGAGCTGGGAGTATTTCCCTGCTGTCTCTGGCCATCAACTGGTTTTAATGGGGTTTCAATGTAGGTTGACCTACATTGTAGAAATCCTTTATGACTTAACATTAACATTCAACTAAAGCATGAATTTGGGTTTGCAGAAGCTGAATAAATGATTTAGCAGTAAATCCAAGCACAGAAATAACATGGTTAGCTTGCTGTTAGCGATAGCATTAAGCCATTTTAAGAATTACTTCCTAAAATTACTATTTTAAGCAATACTAATTAAACTAGTAAAATACTACTTAATATTATATATATATGGACTTATAGATACTAGGAATAAAAGCAGCAGCCACAGTCAGAAACGTAACTTTGTTTTTTTTATCAGTAAACATTGAAAACAGAGAATAGCATTAATGTCCAGCAGCAGGACGTCAGGATTTGGCTCATTTGTGTCAAGTAAAGCAAGAATTCAACATCAACAATCAGCAGTGAATATTTCAAGTCAGACAACAAGAGGAGGTTCTCCTTGTGCTACAGTTTGGACTGAAATGGTTCTGTGAAGTTTAGCTGACCTGTGTTCCTCAGTGAGGACCTGCAGGTTCTGGACTGGTTCCGTCCAGAGCTGAACTTAAAATTCACTGAGTTACACACGCTTTCTCACTTGAACGCATTTAAAGTTACATTTACAGAAACAACATAGTACAATAATAGTAGAATAAACATGTCATTATTAACAAGAAACTGACCTATTCTTTGTGGAATTTGTGTTTTATTGTAGAACCCCGGCAGTACCAGCAGGGGGAGCAGTTCTGCGTGCTTTCTATTTGCCTCATTAATTTTCAAAAGAACTAACTTGGAACTGTTCTTCAAGTTTTGACTTGGAATGTGAAAATCCAATATGGCTGCCACCTTACTAAGTCACATGACAAATTTCAAATCAAATTCGTCAAACACATTGCGTAACTTGCTGTAAACCTGTCAGTGAGAAATAACAGAAGTTAGCCTGGAGAAGGAGAAGTGAATTCTCTGAGTTGCAGATCAGAAAAGCGCTAGCAGAATGCGATGTCTCAAAATCCCGAGTTAGAACGTCTAAAACGCAGCATGAACACGGTAAACACTGCCCCCTACAGTCTGCCTCCATGTTGACAACACAAGTAAAAGATTTGTTTACATTTAAATCAAGTTTAGATTATTCCAGACTACTGAATAATTTTTTAAAATTTAGTTAAAATCTCCCCACCAACTCTGATGGTTGGTAAAATGTATATTTTTTCTCTTCGTCTCCACCTCCTGTTGACATGCACACAGATTTTGGTGCAATATTTTAAAACTGATGTAACTGTGAGGACGTGATGCCCAAAGAGGATCAAGCAACATGTTGGACATGTCCTCCTCCGTCCTTCTACAATCTACAAAACAGAACCGTTTGTGTTCTATTGTTCACCCAACGTGGTCTTCAACAAATGTCAATTTTAGTAAGCTTAATTTTATTCCCACCTGCTTTTGCAGGACTTGTATAAAATTGTTTTGATAGGAAACTAACGAATTGTGTAAATGCAGATTTAGTTTTTCCTTTTACAAAATGGCAGTTATAAATATCTGGAGTAGAGCAGTGTGACCTGGGAATCCAGTTTCAACCCATTTTGCTTTTTCTGAAAGATTTAAGGTTGCAGACATCATGTTGACTGACAGTAAAAGCATATCTTCAGAAATCTCAATATTTTCAGTTCACGGCAGTAAATGTTGGAAGCAGAAGCGCCCAGGATTGAAACACCTGCATCGTCCTGCAGCATCCGAACCCACATGTAAGGTAGCCTGAATTAGCTTATGTTTTTACAGTTTATCTGTAAAAACAGATAAACTGTAACAGATAAACATTACCCAGCATGCTGCTGGGTAATGTTTGGCTCCATTTTCCAGATGGGTTCATCCAATCAGCTTAGAGCCAAAGGTTGGACCTTTGCCTGAAGGGACAGGAAGTTCTTGTTCTGTTTCAGTTCCTCTGGAGAACTGACAGTTGTTGGTCCAATTAAAAACAGAACACAGTTTATCTGAGCAAAGCCACAGCTTCAGGCTGAGCGCTGCTGCCCCCTAGCGGACAGGAGTGTACAGTGCGCCTCCCAGTCCCAGGTACTCCAGGTTCTCTGCTGCAGGGAGGAAATGCCGTTCCCAGTGAGCGCTCCAGTCTGCGGTGGAAAGGTGGCCTGGTAGCCGGCCTGGTAGCCGGCCTGGTAGTCGGGGTCGTCCATGCTGCCACTGGACACCAGGGCCAGCGAGTTTTGGTTGGTGTTCAGGTACTCTGGTCTGGAGAAGGTGGTCTCTGCCTCCTGGGAGCTCAGCAACACGGGGCCCCAGCCCTCCGTCAGGTCTTCGTAGTTGGGATTGTAGATATCAGACAGCCTGCTGCTGGTTTCACTCCCGGGCTGGTTAACGTATTCTGCAACACAAACATCAGGAAGATTGGTTTAGGTCCTGGACTCGGTTGCTTTGGTGAAACTCCTTGTTTGCGTATGACTCCTATCCTGTCTGTTTGACTCCATTATTTTGATCACTTCCTGATTTCTGGCATAAAGTGATCGCTGATCAGAACCTACCGTGACCGTCCAGGTCTTTCTCCAGCGCGTTCTCGGTCGGGTCGGAGATGTACCGGAGAACGATGCTGTTCTCTCTCAGCGGATGGCCGTTCTGAACAAACACACCGTTCAGATGGATCAGTGTTCATGCTGGATAAAACATTTCCATTATTTCACTTCACGTATTGCTCTGCCCCCTTGTGGTTGGCAGTAACAGGTCATGTGTGCTAACATCACAGGTGTAATAAAGAGTTGACGCCACATTGGCTCCTCGGGTACAGGAAATACGGCGGCCATCTTGGAGTGGTGGTTCCTCCTATTTGGCTAAACCAAAACAGCAGAAGAAGAAGAAGCACTGCCGGATGTTTTTGTTCAGATTGATGGACTATTTACGTGAGATCTCAGGGGATAACGTTTCACAAGAAAGATGAACATGTTATTGTTTATATTTTATAATTAGAATATTACTATACTGTATTTATAAAATGAATAATATTAGCTATAGTGCTTGGTGTAAATCGTCTGCTATGAAGGATAACTGGGATTTAGTAAATTTGAAAATGACATTGATTTAGATTATCCAACACAAGAAATAAAACAATATTATATATAATTATAAATATGTGTTAAAACAATCCAAAGCAAATATTAGACAGGTGTCAAAGAATATTATTTATATGTAATTCTTTCACTCTATCAAGATATTTGCTGTTTTTATTTTGAAGGTTTCATAAAGACACCATGAAATGGATCCGTCAGCGGCGGCAGGTGAGAGCTGCTGTTTACTGTCTATATTGTACATTTGATAACCAGTTAAGATATAAAACACAAAATGTTGAAGGATCAGATTATTGAGACACAAATTCTGATGAAACTGTCGGCCACTGTCTGTAGAGCGGCAGCCATGTTGGACTGTGAAACCCAGCCGGGGTCGGACTCTCCGGGTCAGAATGAAACTCCTGGACTTGTTTCAGCTGGTTGTTCGGTTAGCATCAGAGTGTTTACCGGCGGGATGCAGGGCTTGCTGCCCTGCCGGTTTATCCGTTTGTACGGCAGCAGGTATTCATCGGCGTCGACCACGTCGTCATCAGAGCTCAGCAGGCGGGAGAAAAGCCTCCGATCAGACGGATTCGGCAGGTTTCCCTGGGAAGCAAGTCAGAGACGACCTTCACAGTCAAACATACTTTATTATCCCAAATTTGATCAGACTCACTTCTTAATGTTCAGTTACTTTATAAAAAACATTTATATTTTGATTTGAACTCTTTAGACATATTCTTTGAAAAGTAAAGTGAAAACCCAGATTTATTCTGTTGGTGTTCTATAGAGGGATGAGGTGGAGGCGGCGGCGTACCTGTATGACCAGGTACCTGGACGGGTCCCGGGCCATCTGGGAGAACTCGCCCACCAGCTCTGAACCTGGGTCTGCTGGACGGGTCGATCATCCAGCCTGCAGGGAAACGGGGACAACACACTACCTGAGGAAGCAGCCCCAGCCAGTCTGCAGCGCCACCTGCAGGGTCAGCTCTTACACTTCAGGATGATCATGTAGACCTCGATGGTGCAGATGGGAGGCTGCGGCAGCCGCTCCCCGTTCTCCAGCACCAAGGCGATGTCTTTGGCCGGGATGCTGTCGTACGGTTTGGATCCGAACGTCATCAACTCCCAAACAGTCACACCTGCAGAGACAGGAGTGACGTTAGCTTGGTTAGCCTAGCCTAGCCTAGCCTAGCTTTGCAATAACACTGCATATAAGGAAAAGGAACAATTTCCTCATGTTCTGCAGGAACACACTGAGCCATGTCCAGTTAGAATGACTCGTAGCTGAGTATTTTATTCAGTCTGAATCCTCTGGCTGTGCGGTTTCAGATGTTTAAATCGGCTAACAGGAGGTGGAGGGTGAAGGCAGGTAGGTGGCGCTGTGGGACGATTCCTCACCGTAGCTCCACACGTCGCTCTGATGGGTGTAGGTCCACTGGAGGATCGACTCCAACGCCATCCACTTGATGGGAACCTGCTCAGAGATGCAGCAGTGACTCATCTGATGTGTTTTCAGTCCGGACAGAAACCGGTCAGGCGTTGTCAGGGCACCTTTCCTCCGTCCGCGTGGTATTCCTTCTCGTCGGCCGTCAGCAGCTTGGACAAGCCGAAGTCTGTGATCTTGACGTGGTTGGGGTTTTTCAGCAGGACGTTCCGGGCCGCCAGGTCGCGGTGCACCAGGTGGCGCTCTTCCAGGTAGTTCATCCCCTGAACCAGCAGGACACAGTCTGTCATTTAACAAACCACAACTAACCGCTAAATAGATAAAGAAATATTTGAATTCCATTATTTTGTCCAGGTTATCATGAAATGTTGATTAACTTTCAGTCAGTGTTGGGAACAGTTCCCCAGACCGTGGGATCCAGAACAACCCAAATTCACTCTAATCTCCTGACCCAGTTCAGGTTTTCCCAGCATCTAAACATTTCAGACGGGACTGAAGGGATTAAAGTCCTTCATCCTGATGCGTTCAGGTTAACGAGCCTCAGCAGGATTACTGAGCGCCGGTTCCTGGCTCACCTTGGCGATCTGAACACACCAGTTCAGCAGCCACTGGCCGCAGATCCGCTCCTGGTGCTGCCGGACGTAGTCCAGCAGGCAGCCGTACGGCATCAGCTGCGTCACCAGCTGCACGGCCGACGTCAGGCAGATGCCCAGCAGGCGGCAGACGTGAGGATGGTCCACACTCGCCATCACGTACGCCTCCTGCAGGGAAGCCACAAACACCAACAGTCCATGAACATCACATTCATCAGGTCATCTTTAATGAAGAATTAAAACCTGCAGCGTCAGAAACGCCGACGGTCCGTAAACACAGCGACACGGCAGAGCAGGGCAGAAATACCATCTGGTCATCTTCAATAAATAATAACAGATAATAAGATAAAACACAGTGAGAGTCATATTCACTTCAACTGAACTGTTTTAGTTTACATTAATAGTCACTCTGCAAATATTTAGCTGGTCAGAAATATTTAGTTAATTAAAGTCATTTATAAATCTAAGTAATAGATATGATATGATGGAATGTTGTTCCAAAAACTGATAAATACTGCATTATTTTAAAACATTTTAAATCAGAAATTCACTTACTTTGTTCATATGCCATATTAATTCTGATTCATGCAACAATATTGAAACATAGACGGCAGAAATACAAATAAATATACATTTTATTTATATTTTTGCTCTTTTTTTAATCTTTGATTTTAATTCATCAAATGAAAATTGTCCGACTTTCGTTTCCTTTACATCTAAATGTTTTTTTACTTTTGATCTTATTAATTGTGAAAACGTTTCAACACAAACCTCAGTTTATCCAAATGTTCACTGCTTCGCTCACCTTCTGTTTTGTGACAGAAGTTTTCTGTATTTTTGTATTGCTGTCCAGTTTAACATATTCACATATATTGTGGCTTAACATTCGTTCCCATCAACAACGCTTTAACTGAATGCAGCATATTGTCACATATGGAAGGAAACAGCAGCTCTTGGAGTTGATGTACAACAAGACCTCTGATGGTTTGAAATGAAGAAGTGAAGGACGGAGGCAGGAGAGTCCGTCAGGAAACCAGCAGGATCCTAGTCAGAATGTAAATGCATTAATGTTTCTGTGCTAATGAAAGGTCGGGATCAGCGTTAAGCTCAGGATCGGTTTGTGATTAACGATGAGAAAATCTGGGCAGAAACAAACAGTAATCCTAATAAATGCTGGTGCTGTCCAAAGGGAACAGACCCAACAGAACTGAACCTTGTTCTTTCTGTTCAGGAGAGCCAACACAGCTAAAGACATAAAACACAAGACGAGATGATGGTTGGAGTCCCACCACTGCTCTTGAGCAAACTGAACCAGAGGAGAAGCAAAGCCTTACGTCCAGAACTTCCTGGTTGACTTTCGGTGATGTAGCCTCTCTCAGAACTTTGATAGCGACTGGGATCCGGATGTTTTCTCCTTCTGGGTTCCATAAACCCTGAACAGAGAGACGTGAAGTGAGTCATCATGTCAGGAGGACAGCGTCTTCTGCTTTCAGCCATCGCTGGTACCTTGTAGACCGTCCCAAAGGCCCCAGCCCAGAACTCGGCCTTCTTGAACTCCGTCTCCTTCAGGATCCTCAGGAAGGCCTGATTGGGAGCCTGACCGCTCGGAGTCAACGGCTCCACCAGCTGCAACATGTCCAACAACGTCAACCAGCTGCAGAGTTAGTCTTCCAAAGCCAGAGTTGTTTTTAAGAGTGCCGCTCACCTCCTTCTCTTGGAGCGCCGTATCGTCCTCTTCCGTCTGATTCGCCGGCGCCTCAGTAGAACCAGAATGAGCAGCGTCACAATTACAGTGATCAGGAGTCCGCTGACCACCCACTGCCAGAGAGGAGTGAGCGCCGCTGCTGGTGGGAAAACGAGTCAAAAAACAATCTGGTTTATTCACGTCCTCCTCCATACTGACAGAAATCATCAGGGTTCCAGGGTCATATCGACATAAACAGATTAATTCCTGATCATATGAAGTCATGATTTCTATGCTGCCCAACGACTCACAGGAAGGTCGACTGGTATGACGAAGGCTAAGCTAACCCAACAGACTGAGCTTCAGGGGAGAAGTGTTACATTTGCTAATGGATTTGGTGTTGATGTGTAAATTATTATGTTTTAGTTGGTAAGTTCACTACAGATTCTGTTGGTTCAGGCACAGAGCAGTTCATCAACCAGTCCACTGTGGCAAACAAACTCAGCATTGTTGATGTTTTTATTTGTAGTTTTACCCTTTACATCCAGACAGTCCAGGACCAGAACACCTGCAGACACAAAGACAGTAAAATGAACCTTTTCTCTGCTGGTTTAAACTTCTCAGACCTGACATGAAGCTTCAGTCAGAGGTTTTACCCCTGGGTGCAGTTCTGATGACAAGGCTGGCATTGGCCCATCTTATCCGCATATTTCCAGATCAGAGTGTCGCCGTCTCCCATCATGCCATGGGGGCACCGAGGGATGCACTGGTGGCCATCTTGAAAGTGCGCACACTTGGAGCAGTTGGCTGGCCCCTGCACAAAAAAAGGTTTCATATTCAGAGAGAACAGAAATTCATGCAAAGCATTTCATTCAAATTGCAACAAATTATGGCAAAAGGTCAGTTTATGGTTTCATCTCAGAAGAAGATGAGGGATACTTTTTGGATTTGCTGATTCTCCTGAGTAAATGGATTCTGAATTACAATGTAACAAAGTGAACTGACGGGCCGTAGCAGGTCAGACTGTCAGTCTGCAGCAAACACTCCTGGTGACACTGAACACACCTGCCGTCCACCTGGGCCTCTCTGGGTTCACTGCACCGAGAAACAGAAAAAAAACAACGAAATTCATGCATAAAGTACGTAAAGAGCAGTAAAATTACATCAGAACTGTAGTTGTGCAGACTGCAGGTCTCTCACCCCTGCAGCTGGTTGCAGGATGCCACACAGCGCCCCCCTCTGTCCACATGCAGACAGGAGACACACATTGTGGGCCCCGGCCCCAGCAGCCATCCTCTGAGCACTCGCTGTCGCAGGTTTGATTCCCACTACTGCCGTCATTCACTATGGTCTGGGTCCTCAGATCGGAACAAGCGCCTCCAGTTGATGGTGTTGGCGTAGCGCAGCGCCGGCGTGTCCTTCAGGATCACATTCCCAGCGCTCACCTCCTTCAGGGAGCGCAGACCGAGCCACTGCAGGTGACTCACCTGAACCACCACAAAGCTGAACCCTCTGGAAGGAAAAAACTGTCGGTCCACAGCTGGAAAACTACAACGGGAAGTTTTAGTTCCAGCTGTAGAAACACAGAAACTCACCTGGAAAACGTAGTTCTTCCTCTGATAATTTCCAGGTTCTGGAACACCGACAGAGACGTCATGTTTTCAGGCCACCACATGATCATCAGGTAACCTGCCACAGCAACAAGCTGAACTC